ATTTTACCAAAGTTGAATGTAATTAACCATTGTTTAATTTCAAAATTATCCTTAGTGTCTAAGCATTGCCGACGATGGGCCGTACAATACTTTACTAAAATTTTGAAATTATTAAGATTTAATCTAGTGAAATCTGATTATCCTTATCCGATGGGGCTTCAGCGATAACCATTTCACTAATAAACCCACAAATGGAGCCCGCAGGTTTTAAAATTAATTAATTTTTAAAACCTTCACCCATTCAACATTTTTGTTTGAGAATTTTCATAAGCCCAGTCGAATTCATTGTTTAATTTCAAAATTATCTTTAATAACTTAGTATTATCGACGATGGGCCGTACAATACTTTATTAAAATTTTGAAATTATTAAGGCCCAATAAAATCCAATCATGCTTATCCGTTGGGGCCTCACATGATTATTTTATTGATAGGCCCACAATGCGCCTGGAGGTTAAATTAATTTCTTAATTTAAATCTCCTCCCATAGATATTTAAGTCCAATCTAATAAAATCCAATCATGCTTATTCGATGGGACTTCACATGATTATTTTATTAATGGTCCTATAATGCGCTTGAAGGTTAAATTAATCTCTTAATTTAAATCTCCTTCCATTCAACATAAGCAACATTTTCTAATTTCCAAGAATTATTTAATTGAGAGTATCCTTTGTTCGATTTCAAAAACTATATAAGTAAGAGCGCCGATAAACGTGCACTAAGCTTAACATAATTTTGAAAGCATTAAGGTCCTGAAATCCGGTCACTTTACGTCAGCGTGTGCTCCAAACAATCATGATACATGAAGGTTGTATGCAGCGTGTGTTATTCCATGACCATTTCAGAAAACCCACAAATTACTCGCAAAATAAAAGAATTCTCTTAGGAAATTTTCTCTAATTATTTTTCTAGATTTAAATCATCCAAATAGCTGACTTAATTATTAATCTAGATTGCAACAATCATAATAATTATCATTTATGAGGATAATTTGAAATCAAAATAATTTCCATAACGATTATTTGTCTTGATGTTAATTATCCAAAATTAATTAATTCAATTATTAATCTAGATTTTTAATAAAAATCATAATAATTATTAATTAATTTCTTAGGATGATTTAAAATCAAAATAATCCCATAATAACTATCATACTAGTCGCTGAAGACATAATAGCTATTATGCTCATGCAATCATACAAGTTATGCAACAATATGGCACCACCTATTCTATATGGCATGTTATCGCAATAAAGCATGTTATCAATCATATAATTTATACCAATCAATAAAAGCATTAAATAATAAATCATAATTACTTTAATCCATGGCCTTCCTATTTTAAAGAAAATAAAATAAAATAAAATAAAATAAAATAATACAACTTTGGAATTCGACTTTCGCCTAGCCCATAGTATCTGTCTCAAGCCCCTTTAGGGTTTCATGGGCCCAAAAGCCCAAAGACCCAATCCTTTGGCGAGAAACCCTAGGACGCGAAAGAGAAACCCTAGCCGTCAGGTCTGCCGCGTCGTCACCCGAAGTCAAATCAAGCTGAAACTCTAGGGGAAGGACCACCACGTAGAGACGAGTGCACCGCCGCCGGAATCACCCAAAAAGGTGGCCGGACGCTCCTTCACTCTCCCATTCTTTGCCGGAGAGTGGCGGCCACTCTCAGAATCTTGTGGAGGCGCGTGCAGGAGCGTGTAAACTCAGATGGCGGTGTGCCACCCACCTTTGCGTTAGTCTTTCCGTCCTCTTTCCAACCATATATAGATCGCCCCATTCCGAGATTGGTAAGTTCTCGAAAAGTTTCCGACAGTGCTGACTGCGCATCTTCCTCGCGATTTCTCGATCTTGAACTTTTACAAAATATTGAAAAAATACACAGAAATTCCAAAAATAAACAAAACCAACAAGGAGGAAACCTAATCATATGGGATTAGCCTCCTTGTTACAAATCGAGAAATACACGAGAGACCCTAACCATGGATTAAAGCATTTTTACCGATTAAAATTTAAACTTTTATGAAAATGAATTATAAAATACACATGCTAGATTCATACCATAATCCTAGAACCCTAGGTGCCACATTTCAAGAAGCAAAACTAATTACATGAATAGTGAAACTAGATTCACATACCAATGTACAGCCAAGGCTCTGATACCAATTGTAGGAAATCTTAGATTTATGCGGAAGCGGTTTAGGACCTAGTACATTGGTATGCTTACCGAATCATCCTTGTTTCACAATTACCTCTCGGTGTGCAGGTCTCGTGTAGAATCTTCCCTTGTAGGATTCCTCTTCAGGAACAGCTCACCTCAGCGCCGCAACACGAACAACCTCCTTGAAGTTGGACTGTGGCAGATCTTCCAGACTATCTCTCGAGGAGGATGAGATGGTTGTGTGGGCAACCGTTCAGATGATGAACGTCTGCCTCTTGGGGTTTGTTTCTGATGATCTGTTCACCTTGGAGGCACAAGAGGAGAAAACTATGAATATATACACTTAGGTCTTAGACATAACTCAACCCTAAGCCTCATGGGCTCAAGTTTCACTGAAGCCCAATAGGACTTTAGTGACCAAAAGAGCATATATCCAACACATATCATATAAAAAAATCATTGGGATTTTTGTTTTTCCTTTTATAGAAAAAAACAAAACCTTTCATGCACACACAATGACTTCCACTGTTTTTTTTTCCAATATAAGTGGGCCCCACAATTCAATGGGTCAGCACGAAATCTTTTTGCTTTTCCTATAAAATGAGAAACAAATATCCTAAAATCATTTCACCTAAAAGCTCAAGTCATTAGATGAAACTCACTTTAACGATTTTATATATAATTTTTCAAAGACACCCTTTAAAGCAAAAGTCATTTGGGCTTGAAGTATGAATATTGCACATTCTTATTTTTTTTTACCTTATGCTAACTTAATTTCGCTAGAAAGTGGAAGGCAACGAGGACTGAACTCTGTGACCCCATGGTCACAAAGGCTCTATTACCATGTAAATGTAAACGATCATTTCACCTAAAAGATCAAACTGTTACTTGAAAGCCACTTTAATGGTTTTATATATATAATTTCTCTAATAGCAGAGAATAAGCAATTACATAATAGCGGCGGCAAAAAAAATAAAATATTGCTATTTTAATATATATTTATGAAAAAATAGAAACAATTTACGAATCTATTGACACTCTATCACGCTCGAAATGGGCGTGACCACTCATGCCTCATTTTGGCTTACCCTTCACTCATTCACGCTAGAAAAGATGTGACTCATCTGGTGTTGACACGTGATATAAAAAAGTAAATAGATTAACCGAAAAACTTCGGAAGACCATAATTTTTGACTCGAGTGTCTAAATTAGGTAAATATTTTTTTATTTCACATAACTTTTTAAGATCTATGCAATGACATTTCATTGAAGAGAATTTGGTCAAAATGTTTTCTAAAATTTGGGATATTTTACTGAAAAACTTCGGAAAGGCATAACTTTTGACTCGGATGTCCGAATCAGGTGATTTTTTTTATTTCACGTAACTTTTCGAGAGTTACGTGTTGGCAAATACCCGAAGGGGATTTTGCCAAAAAAATGTTTTTTTGTGCCCCGTTTGGTAATTTTTATCTTTGTGAATTATTTTATTTAAACTTTTACTTTCCAACACTAACAAATAATCTTAGAATTTGCCAACGCTTAAATATCAAAAAGTTGTATGGAATTAAAAAAAAAAATTCACTTAATTCAGACCTCTGGGTCAAAAGTTTTTGCCTTATGAAGTTTTATGGTGAACTTGAGCTCATGTAATTGATTAAATAGTTCAGGTAATCGATTATATCATCCACTCAATGGTCAAATGTGGACTTGTTGATTTTTTTTATAAAAAATGGGCAAATGGGCAAAAAATTCAAATAAATGTATGTTATTCTTTTTTGGAAAATTTTGGGAGATAAATGCTCTTGTGGTGGCACCATTTTGCAAATTTAAAAAAAAAATTGGAATTTTTTTACCAAACCCCTTCAATGAGATATCATTGAATAAATCTCGAAAAGTTATGTGGAATAAAATTTTTTTTTACCGAAATTAAAAGTTATGACCTTCCGAAACTTTACAGTCAAACTATTAATATTTTTGTATCACGTGTCAATAATATATGAGTCACGCATTTTCTAGACGTGAATGAATGAGGGATAACGCCTAGTGGTCACACTCATTTTAGGCATGACCGAGTGTAATAAATCCATAAATTATTTTAAAATATTAATATTTTTGTAATTATTTATTAAAATAACAATATTTTATTTTTTTTCCCGAATAGCGGCTTTTAATGTAATATATGAGGATAAAACATGGAAGACAAGTAGGGATAGAATACACATAACACACCAATATACATTGGTTTCAATGTTGAGGAACATATTTCTCTTAACCAAAGATTCCAAGTTTGAGTCAATGGAGAAAACCATCAAAGGAATGGAGAAAAAATAATCTTAGAAGAGTCCTCCTCTCCCCATGAGTTCGACAAAACTCGAACCGGATTGGTGGAATACATAATGAGCCGATAGAAAAATAAAAGATTACATTCAGCACATACAACCAAACTGATCGAATATCTTCCTCAATTTACATGGCCCAAGTTGGAAAATTGTAGCTGCTCTTTACCAATGGTTACAAGAGAAAAAATTGGATGCAGAATATAGCAGGGAATTGAATATTACAGTATCATAAGCAAATCAATTAACTTGAACTTCTTATATCATGAAGAGTCAATGAAATATCTCATAATTCACATTAACTCGATGGTATCCAATATTCTTGTTGATCCTCTCCATAACACTAACATAACTTAATTTACAAAAGAACTAGGATAAAAAAAAGAAAAAAAAGAATCTACATGTATGGAACACTAACACATGATGTACTATGTGAAGAAATTAGATTGACTCCCTGTGCATATGAACAACAGCGACACACCCAAAAAGTCAATTGATATAATTAATATTCAGGCAGTTCTTTCATGAATTCCAATCCAGAAGGAGATAACAAACTACCCAAAATCCCATTTGGCGAATTGGAATATTTATACACCGACAGAGATGAGCAAACAAAATCTGAGGAATTTGGGGTGAAAAGAGGCATATCAGCAAAACCCATAATAGAATGACTATGTTGAACATAAGGCTCTTCCTTAACACAAGTTTCAACATCCCTAAGAGATGAGCTTGTTTCATCACCACCCCAAGAACCATGCTTCCATTTCTGTTCCTTCTCCTGTTGCTTGATACTGCTATTGGACCCATCAGACAAAGATGACCCAAAATTCTCAGAGGCCTCAAGTTGTGGCTGATGTTGAACCGGTAAAGCAGTGGCATGAAACACTTCTTCCTTGGAGTGTGCCATGCCGGTTAGTCTTTGAACCAAGGCCATGAAATCTCGGGGCTTGGTGTGAATAATCTTTGGTGAATGTGTGTAGATGATGATGGGTTTCCTTTGCTGTTTGTGTGGCTTGGTCAATGCATTAACAATAGATGTTGAAGATGAAGAAGGCTTTCGAATCAAATGAGAGTCTTTGTTGATCATCAATGGGGAAGGACGTGGACCATTGATCTCAATCTTCTTTGAATGCTCATGAAAGGCATGGAACTTTGAAGCAGGTCTCATATCAGAACTTAGAAGTTTCAACTGAACACCAATGTTAAGGAAAAGAAACTGTTTGATGAAATTGAAAAGAGAGAACGGTGAATTAGGAGAAACAGATAGGTGGATATATATTGACAAGTGTTTTAGCCAACGATTCTGACCGTTGACTTTGCTTTTGTTCAGATACAGATATTTCGGCTGAGAGAGAAGAGTACTGTGTGAACTGAGAAGATGAAATGTGGGGATTTTTTATTGTTTATTTTGTTTGCAAAGTCATGGAGTGGAAGGCTACTAGTACGTTCCGAGTTCAGGAATTAATTTCTCAACAAAATGAAATGATATTTACACAAAACACACTATTTACGTAATTAATATTTTTATACATGTTATCGGAGAATACTTAATCACATTGTAATTAGGTGTTGTGAGTTTATACTCTTCACAGTTCACACATATAATTTGCATAAGTTTTTTTTCTTTTCTTTTTTTCTGACTTGCACTCCATGTGGCTTAAGAATTAAACCTGAACTTTTTAAACAAATCACTACAAATTTTACCAAAATAAGAGGAGTTGAGTGTGATAACAAGTGAGCAATATTCTCAAACAAAATATTACAATTCAATCCTTGGAAAAGATAATTATTTGGATATCTCGTTAAAACCAAAAAAATAAAATAAAATGGGATTACCCTTATATGTAAATTTTTATTACTTTATTTCTTTTTGTTCTTCAGCACTCTCCCTTCAAACACTGAAATTTTTTATGGCTGCCTCTTCAGCCTGTGGAAGCAGATTGTTATTAATTGTTATGTTAACGAGAATATTCTAACTACAAATTTTTTTTATTATTAACTTATTATCGATTACATCACTATTAGATTAAAGAGAGAATGTTAAAAAAAATTTGAAGAGAAAAAATATTAATCTAATGATAATTAGATAAATAATAAGTTGATAGTAAAAAAATTTAATAATTAAAATATCCCTCCTCTTGTTATGTTATGTTAATCGAAGTTGTATGTTTTGTTTCTAATTGTTTGAACCTATGCCCCATGTGATAGCCGCCTTTGCAGGCCAGCAGCATGCAGATGTTTGTACTTTTACCTTCTTAATTTATTATTGTTATTATTATTATTATCTTGACCATTTCATTGTAACTTTATCTTTTCACTTCTAACATTTTGGACGTATTCTACACGGTATATAAACTGAGTACTATAATAATAATAATAATTGTTTGCACTATACTAGTTGAGTTTGAACAGTTTAATTTATTAATGTAAAAAAATAAAGTTAAAAATTATAACATTCAAGTTGTTGATGACATTTTGACTCAACCAATAAAATTAAATAACGCGGTTAGTTGATGTTGTTAGATTCAATACCTTCAAAAGAGGTAGCCTGTACTTTTCGAACTTTATATTAAAAAATACAACAAAACCCAATCTTTTTTTGTGTCAATTTTATTGCAATCCAAATAGTTCTTTTTTAACGGTACTTTATTTTTCATCTGTTAGCACTAGTAATAAATTACAATATAATTCCTAAAGAACTTTATATAATGTTGATACACAATTAGAACATGGGAACAGCTTGGAAGCCTGAATTTCTGCCACTATAACTACTATATGTGTTGGCAATTGGGGTAACTTAAAATTGAGTATATAAATGTTGCAATTCAATTAAAATGCGCCGGCGCTTAATTGGTGGCGATTTTACTTTCTTTATTGAAAATACTACCCCTATGACATGAATGTCTATTATTGTTTTGGGACATAATTGAAAAGAGAAAATAAGTTGAAAAAGATGTCTATTATTGTTTGGTAATAATATAAAATGTAAGATGAAAATAAAATAAAGAGATAAAAAGAAGTTGAAAAGGATGGTACGGCGGCTTGGCTTAAAAAAGGAAGAATAATGTCTTGTGACGCGTTTACAAGGCCCACGTGGTGCATCCACGAAAACGAGGTTTTCTTGTTACAATCTCGCTGGGCGCAAGGAGATCATACATCTTTTTGGTCAACCCTTGTTATTATTTGAGTTATCTAATCTAATCTAATAACTACCATATATGATATAAGAAAAAAAAGTAGGGTATTTTAATATTTGATGAGAAAATTAATAGTTGATATTATATGCATGTCTTAAGTCCTAAAAGAGTTTAATGACAAAGCTAAAATTCTGTAATACTAAAAAACAAAAGCCCAATTGATGAATCATGATTGTGAGGGTTGGGTCGTGGGACGTAGGTGCTCACAGACCTCAGCAATGGGAAACCTCCAAGCCCTGTTGAATGGTTGCCTCCTCGCTGGTTCTGCGATATGGGGCTAGAGGTGGCAAAGCGGCCCAGCCCGGCCATCAACCTGCCAAAAAATGAGTCAGCTCGTTCTGCCTTGCTTTTGAAAATGGGTTGAAAAACTCAGCTCACCCCGCTTGACGGGTTGGGTGGGTTAGCTCGCCAGCCCAAACCTATTTTACACTGACCCGCCTATGCCCGTCATCAACCCGCCAAAAAAAGAGTCCGCCCCACCTCACTTTTGAGATGGGTTGAAAAACTCAGCCCGTCCCGTCCCGTTTGGCGGGTTAGACGGGTTGACTCGTCGAGCCGAGCCCGTTTTGCCGACTCTACGTAGGCTAAGAAATTGTCTAGTGCATGTCTAGGACGTGGGTGGCTAGAAAATTTAACAATTTAGAAGAGGAACTATATTTCCTAAACCTATGTACAGGAAGTTCTATTGATAGTTAAGGGGAATGGAACGCAGAAAACAGTTGAGAGTCAAAACTTGGGAGTGGAATAAAATAACTTCTTGATAATAGTATTCCTCTTTCAAAACGAAAGCAGCTCGCAAGTTGCTCGCCACTTGATTTATTAGACTTACGAGTTAATGAGTTGAAATTGAATTAGAAATCTTGACATTTTGTTGAATGAGCTGAGTTTGAACTTTTACGCGTTCAACTCATTAAATATGATTTTTTAATATCATTAAATACCTTTTCGATTAAAAAGTATAAAAATTAGAGAAATTCTTTACTGAATGTAAGATTTGAATCTGGCTAATTATGCTCAAGCAACTCCTCAGTTAAAACGGAGTCAAGCTTCAGGTAAGAAAATAAGCTTACTTATATACAAAAAAATAATTAGCTAATTTTTTTAACGAAACAAACTTGAGCTATGCTTGAATTAAGCTTGACATGAATTAACTCGACTCACTTCTACCCTCTAATTGTGGTGAGGCAGATTGTATGGTTTAATATTTCTGTTTTTAACATAAATTTTTTTCCTAACATATTCATATAAAAATGAGTGAATCCCATTAATTTTTTTCTCTCTTCTCTTTAAAATGAGATTCATTTACTTTAAGATGAGTGTGGCAGAAAGATTTATGCAGTAAAAATAGAAATATTTTTTCTATATATATATATAAGAATTCTAGGGTAAAAAGAGCAAGAAATTGATCTTAAGTCAGTAATAAATGATGTTATTTGATAGAATTATTGATAATTCGTTCTCAGACACATTCTCACTGAATTTCTATATTTTTGCATAGAAAACGCATGCAAAAAGGTCACTTTCAATAGTCATCCACTCGCGCGAATCGTGCGAGATTGGCGCTGATCGCGCCATGATTACTGCAAGATCGCGTGGATCGCGTCAAGAAGGAGAAGTAAATAGCAAATCACACTGCCTCCTCGCACGGAGCGCGCTGTCAAGTTAAGTCTCCTGCGCTGATCGCATGGGTTCGACGTGTTCAGCATCTAAATGATTTGATTTTAATCTGATAAGGATTGTGAATCAAATATTTGGAAAGATATGGACGGATTTGATTTATTTCTTATAAATAAGGGAGTAAAAACCCTTAGAAGGTATCTTTGGCAGAGGAAATTATAGAAAACACAACAGAGAGAGCTCTTGGGATTGATGCTGAAGATCAACACTCAGAGAAACTGAAGACTAAAGATTTCTTCTTCGTCTTCTTCTTCTTCTTTTTCTTTCCTTCATGAATTCTTTTTATTTTAATTTGTTAAAGTCAGATATGTCCAACTAATTTTCATTTGTAGTTGGGATCACGAATCCGATGTGAATCCTTTATAGTTTTAAATTATTTTTTAATTAATTTAATTTTATTCTACCTGTGTTAATTCTTCCACACTCTTTTTAGAACTGATTGCTCTAATATAGGATTTTGAGGATTATAGCTCACAATAGAAATATTGAGGTTTTAATTCTTACAAGGGTAGAATAATAACAAACTGTGTATGATCTAGACATAGGCTTACATAGGTTGCAGACTTTTAAATTCATCTGGTTAATGCTTGATTCAAAAGGAATTACTAGGATACCAGGATTCTAATTGGGTTAAAGGGTTGAATTCACTAAGACATTAGGGTTCAACTATTTAATAAGAAAAAGATGAATTGTCTGAACTAATGAATGAATTAATTATACGAATTTTTTTGGAGATCACAAAGTGAGCATTGAGCTAGCTGAAAGAGTGAAGTATAGAAGAGAAAGATGGTGATTTGAAATCTTGGATGTTATTGATAGTAAACTACCTTGTTTTAATTTTCTATTGTCAATTACTCTATTTTAACTCTTCACGAGTTTTAGGACTTGTTTTAGTTTGAAAACTTGAATTTTTCAGTGGTTTGTAACTTTGTATAACTTCATTTTGATATAGCTAGTGATTTTGTATGGTTGATATTTTATGCTTTTCGAAAAATTGAAAACTGATTCAATCCAAACCGAATAAAATTGGATTGAATTGAATCGGGTTTGAAAAAATTCAAACCGAATGGATAATTAAATGATCAAACTGAAGGGATTGGATCAGATAAATTTTTCTTCAAAATCGATCCAATCCAGACCACGAATACCCCAAGAAGAAACAAGAAATGTTGTTTTAAGTTCGATTGTATAACATCCCCTAATTCTGAAATAATTAAATATAATTTCTCTAGTTGTAGTAAGAAGATTTAATCATCTAGTATTTATTAAGAGCCTATTTTTTAAGTTAGAAGCTACTTTTAAACTAAAGTTAAAAAAAAGCTTAAAAAAAACTAAAAGTTGTTTGGTAATAACATAAAAGTTTTAGTTTCAAAGCACACGTTTCCAAAAAAAATCCTCTTTCTCTCTATCTCTATGTCTCTTCATTTATAAAAAACACCCAATTTAAGAAAAGCTGATAAGAGCTTAAAAAAAAGCTCCTCTTAGGAGCTTTTAGCTTTTGGCCTTTTCTTCATTACAAAAAATAGAGCTTTTTATTATAAGAGTTTTTCTCAAAACCTGTTTGGCTTAGCTTCTCTTATAAAGATAAGAGAAGCTCAAAATAAGAGGATTTAAACAGACACTAAGTTGAAAAATCATAGTTAGTCTCTAAACTTATATAAGTATTTTGTTGCGGACACAGCAAATGTATTGGTAGTACAGATAATAAAGTAATATGAAAGAGTATCATTTCGACAATGATTCACATATCAATCACTAATTCAACAATTTGCTTAAGTTGTATGAATCTAAATAATAAAATTGGTAATGCAAATAATATCTAAAAAAATATTAAAATAAAAAACCAAGTATAGATTAATATAAAATAAGAACACGCAACTATGGATTAAATAAAAAATGCAAAGAGTTCTCAATAATGAATGGTTAGGGTTTCGACTTTTCTTGATTTTTACTTGTGTAATTTAAATTAAAATTGCAATCAATTCCCCTTTCAATATGGTCAATCAATTTAACACAGTTAATTAAAACCTAATTTCTTGCTATTAACTCTTTATTCCATTTCAAGAAACCTAATATATTAACATCTCTTAAAAAAGGCTTAAGTATTATAAATAAAGAATTATCAAGGTTGCATATTTTCGTATGTCTATTCCTAAAATCATATAAAAATATGGTAAGATTATCAGGCTTAGTTCATATACTAATATTCCTATTATCATACATAAACCCTAAATCATTCTATAAGAGGGAAACTTATGAAAGCATTACGTGGACAATAATTCACGTAATATTGAAAGAAAATATTGTATTGAAATGACAAATCAAATCACACCTTGGGTTGCATCTAACCTTAACATAATAAAATTAGAAAGTGATAAAAGAAAGAGAAAGAAGAGAAAGATTAAAAAAAACTCCATTATAATCGTTGATGGAGAAGGTTGATCCCAATACTTCCACCCGTTGATCCTGCCTTTGCCCGATTCGTTCATGAACTGATAAGTTGTGCTCTCCAAGAACCCTAGCCATCGCTCCCTTCGGTGAAAAGATTCTTTGGAAAGTCATAAATAATGTGTTTATTTTTTTGCATTCCAGCGCTCAGGTGTTGGCTCACGGGCTTAAGCACCAGACTTCTTGAATGGATAATGTGTTTATTAAGTTGTGCTCTCTAAGAATCCTAGCCATCGCTCCCTTCGGTGAAAATCTGGAAAGTCATAAAAAATCTGTTTATTTTTTTGCATTCCAGCGCTCAGGTGTTGGCTCACGGGCTCAAGCACCAGACTTCTTAAATGAAATTTCATCTATTTTTGCAGCATTCATGATGCTTGTAGCTCCATCACTTTCTAATTCTCTAAAACACCAAAAAGCATAAAAATTAGTTTAATTAAACATTTAAAAATATAACTTAATAACAATTCATCTCATGACTTCATTAGTATTAATAATTTAAACCATTAAATTCAGACTATTGTCCTTAAACCACGAGTATGATCCTTTGTTGTAGGTTTTTAATGGCCTCCTGAACTTTGTTAATTGATTAATTTGATGTAACAAGCTCAATAATGCAAGTTTTTAGGTTTATAAAAAAGGGCAACCAATTAAATGTATTAAATAAAGAATATTTTAATTGATTATTTATGATTGTTGAGGCCAACCATAATTATAATTTAGCATGTCACTTACTTGTAATGTGTATTGTGGGCGTTAGTTGGGATGGATTGCATTTTTTTAAGCTTAATTCATTAATTGGGTAAAACATCTCACTTTTCTTCTAAAATATTTAACTCAATTTTTTTTTTCGTCTATCTTTCTTTACTTTTCACTATATATAAGTTTAGCCGCCATCCCACCGTAAAAAAGATAGGTTAGAATTTTGTACTCACTTTTAAAAGTGGGACAAGTTGATCCTTTTTATGATGGGATGGAAACAGGTTGGGGGGTCACCTACAATGCCACCCCTTAATAGATACATCCTCAAAGAATCGAAGATAATAATTGTTGTTGAAGCCAACATTGTGTTTTAGAAATATTTGATATGCGTTGGAGTCAGATTGAGCCATTGCGCTATAGGTCTTTCGGTGATAAGTGCTCAATTCAACAATTGATATCAAATTCACAAGAGTTGGAGACCTAGTAATAAGTACTCAATCCATCAATATTTTTCACCTTCCCCCTCGATCACAAATCAAATTATTATAAGAAAATGGATCCGATGCTCTTTTTCCAGACTTACAACTATCAATTGTAAAATAATCCAGCTTTTACTGAATTAAGTAAGAAACTTAAGATTGACCCATTTTAAGAAAAATAGTCTAAAACGAAGATTGAATTTGATTGTTTAGTAAATATATAACTTTAGTATTTAAGGAGTTGATCCCGTTTATGAAATGCTATATATTCATTGAGGCAATCAACTCTAGCAAAGAAGACATTTTGTCTCGTATTATAGACACAACATGTGGATATATATAAAAATGTATAGGATTCATGTTTTCTCTTTCTTTTTCTCACATGGACCCACATGAGTGTCATGTATTTTTATATGTATATAGGAGATAAAATTATCTTCTCAATATAAGAAATATTAATTACTATATTTAAAGGATCTTTATTTTATCATGTTACATGATGTCATGCAACACTAAAAGACAAAAAAAATAATAAAAAAAAAAATATGATAAGACACTTTGTTCAATAATTGTGTTTTGTCTTATCTTAACATAACCAAATTATTTTTTCTACAACATAATTCTTATTTATCCCATGTTTAAAGGGGATAACTTATGATAGCATATTTTTCCAATGATCCCCGGTTGCACCTTTTCATGTGGGGTGCATACTAAAACTCACTAAAATGTGTGAGATGGATGAGCGAGACAAAGATGCGTGCTGAAAAGATACATGAGGTTATAACAACATCCACAATTTTAGCTTGCGAAAAGTTTTTGATTGATGGTTCAAAAAATAAAAACAGGTATTGTACCAAAAATAAAGATACAAACAAAACTCGGCAAAAAAAATTTATTTATTGCAATTTAATTAAATAATTACACAAATATGACAGTTTGGAGAATATTTACGCATCTATTGCACACTGTGATGCCCTTTTTGGGCGTCACATGTGACGCTCCACTGGGGCATCTCTCATGAGGGGAAGACGCCCAAATGGGGCGTCTCTCATTAGGTGGTGACACGTGTCACTTGTTTTTCCAAAAAAAAAAATTAATTTAATCATAAAACTTCTAAAGGCCATAACTTATGACTCGAGTATCCAAATCAGGTAATTCTTTTTTTGATTCCACATAACTTTTCGAGATCTACGCAATGACATCTCATTTGATATATTTTATTTCTCACCAACATAATTTAATTAAAATCAGGTAATCCTTCTTCCTTAGATATTTAGAATATTTATTTAATTATTTCCTTTATTAATACAGATTTTTCAAATAGATTTTGAGTTTAAATCACAAATCAAATCTTTATTTTGTTTTCCTTATTAATAATAATTGTTACTTTTAATTTAAATCACAAACCAAATTTTTTTATAATAAAAATAAAAAAATTATTATTATAAATTTAAATCACACATCAAATCTTGATTTATTTTTTGTATTAAATCCCAAACGCAGAACTCAGAGGCTTCTGAGTTTAAAAATGTGACACGTGTCAACACTTGTCAAAACCTAACACATTACCAATCACGTCTAAATTGGGTTTCAATCAAGAGGAAATCACGCCTAATTTAGGTAATTTTATTTTTGAAAAACATTCATAAGCCATCATTAATTTCAGACCACGAATAATAACCCAGAAGCTTATAGCATTAATCATTAATTTTAAAAATAATATCCTTCTTCCTTAGAAATTTAGAATATTTATTTAATTATTTTCTTTATTTCTACAGATTTTTCAAATTGATTTTTTAGTTTAAATCACAAATCAAATTTTTATTTTGTTTTCCTTATTAATAATAATTTTTTTATTTTGAATTTAAATCACAAACCAAACTCAGAGGCTTCTGGGTTTAACCGCTCTTATAATACCATTCTTGCAAATTAAAATTGTGTTTGTGAGAAATAAAATATGTCAAATGAGATGTCATTGCGTAGATCTCGAAAAGTTATGTGGAATCAAAAAAAGAATTACCTGATTTGGATACTCGAGTCAAAAGTTATGGCCTTTAGAAGTTTTATGATTAAATTAATTTTTTTTTTGGAAAAACAAGTGACACGTGTCACCACCTCATGAGAGACGCCCTATTTGGGCGTCTTCCCCTCCTGAGAGACGCCCCAGTGGGGCGTCACATGTGACGCCCAAATGGGGCGTCACAGTATGCAATAGATGCGTAAATATTTCTCAAACTGTGATATTTGCGTAATTATTTAATTAAATTACAATAAATAAATTTTTTTTGCCAACAAAACTCTAATGCTACTTGCTAGCTACAAAAATTGCTCAACATTTTCTGTACTGTTTTCCTTCTCTTTTGTTTTTCGCGTTTCTTCGTTACCATAGCTGCAGTCATCAACAGAATTTGTGGACTCACATATGAATCAACCCTCCTATTCACCTCAACTCCAAAACCCAAAAATTGGTCGCCCAGTCCTCCAAAACACATATCTTCTCTCGTTCCCTGCAGCATTGGTCCCAACTAGTGATCCAAATTGCCAACTTTCATTTATGTATTCTTTCCAATTTTTCTATTTTCTCAAATTAGAGAGAGATAACAGAAAAAATAAAATAAAATAATTTCGACTTGGCAAGTAGCTGGATTTAGTTGTAAGACAAGACCTACTCCTTCATGAACAGCTTCACAATCTTCACGCTCGGTTCCAACACCTCCCTCTCCCAAATCTCCGACCTCCTTCCTCCGTCGCTGAGCGCCGCCGTGGCGTCCAATCTCCGTAGGTCCCACCCCGCCCTTTTTAACCGCAGGATCTTCCCTATCTGCCTCTTCGCCAGATGACACGTTTTGTCCTTGATCGCCCTCACAGCACCCTCGTATGCACCATTCCGCATGCGATTCTCCCCCTCTTTCTCCCAACAACCTCGGAACCCCAACGGTGGCGGGTATTCCTTCAAATAACGGTCGAACTCCGCCACCCCAATTGCCTTCCTCAATCCACTCGGACTCGCCGAGTCAACTTCCAAATCGCCCGTTTCCGGGTCAAAGAACTCGGCCAACTCGTCCACCATCCCCGAGTCAAGCATGTCGTCAACTCGCTTCAACAAATAATCCGATAACACAGGGAACGAAACATCCACCCAGAGGAAGCAGCACTCGTACCTGAACTGAGTTAACTCAGGGACAATCGTGAGCGAAGTCTCATCAAACACGTTCAACTCGGGGTCAAAACGTTCAACGAGAAGAGCATGAATGAACGAGTTGGACCCTCCGACGACGATGGGAAGTTTCCTCCGGGAAGTAATGTCGGCGACGACTTCACCAGCGATCCGGCGAAACTCCAAAGGGGTTAACTCGCCGTTCTTAGGGTCGAACTTACCAAGAAGGTGGTGAGGCACACCGTTGCGTTCTTCAATGGGAATCTTGTTGGTGGTGATGTCGAGGCCATTATAGACTTGCATTTTATCGGAGTTCACGATTTCGAAGAAGGGGAAGAAGAGGGTGGCGAGGTCGACGGAGAGGCGCGATTTTCCAGTGCCGGTAGCGCCCATGATGACTACCACCTTGTCTTTCCGGCGATGGCGGCGCCGGAAAGAAAGAGCGGCGTTCATGCGCGGCCACCGCGGCCTGTGCACGATGCCGGTGGCGAAAAGGGGAAATGAATAGTGGTGTGTGTTCGTTGAGAAAAAGGGTAATCTCATAGGGAGAAAAAAAAAAGTGATGGGTGTGAAAAATTATATGTATGTGCTGTGGTGATATGGTGGCTATGGGTGGAAAGAGAAGCAAAGACATATAGGGAATAATAGGGGAGACAGAAGACAGGAACGTTGTTATGATAAGGTAGAAAGTGTGTGTGGGTATAGGTGGCATGTACATATGACGCAGTAAGCGGGTTTTATGGTATCAGAAAATTGGATTGGGTTGTGTTACTGGGATTTTTGAAGGAAATGGCATTGCATAATGCATTTGACAAATGATATTTTTATCAAATTGAACTCAGCAATGCTTTGGATTTGCCAACTCTGGGACTTACACAAATAGACGTTGTATGCAATCTGGGATTGCATTTAACTTTCAAAAACTTCTTTTTTTTCTTTCCCTTTAGAAATGGGGTTTTGCTGAGATTAGCTCTTATTTCTCATTCCTCTCTGTCTCTGCTTTTTGCTCTGACTCTGTTTCTTTCTTTCTTTCTTTCTTCTATTAAAGGTGATCGTTAACTGAAGGAGAAATATGAAGGTGCTATTTTTTTTTGGTTTTATAAGATATATCTGGCTTGCAAAGGAAAACTAATCCTTTCAAGATGGTAAATCACATTAAGTGAATAAACTTCTCCCAACAAAATTTTTCACATACATACGGCGAGAGATCGTATGAAGGTGATATTTAAAACACAAGTTATCAAAGTTCACATTGTGTTAAGTGAAGTGAAAAAAGGGTGCATGCTTCACTCCTAATTTCAACTAATTCAATTCCCATTTTGTAATTTCATTTTACATATAAAAAGCAAGGGTTATCGAAGTTCAACAAGACTTTCTGTTAATATGGATTTTATCGTGTTAAGAAGTCAGTATAACATAAAATTCAAAAGGATCACAAATTCAACCAATTTCCCTTTCTTTCCTGTGCCATAATCAACGTTAATAATCAAAGAGAAGGGTCTAAAAATTCCCGAAAGACCTATTTTGTGTACAAATAATACAATGGCCTCACAAAATTCTAGAGTTTAAACTTCTACTGTCTGCTTATTCATTTTCAAATTCTATCTTTTCTGTTATTATGTACTTGGCAAGTTTTAATCTAGTATCAATAGCACAAACATGTTGAACGTCTTCTGACTTAACAGATATCTACCTAATCTTGAAGATCTAAAATTATTTTAGAACTCGGATTTAAAATCTAATAATCAGTCACAATTAATTAAAAATATTTTAACTTCAAAACAAGGGTTAGGTATTGTAGTTACCTTAAAAATAAAAAATTGTTATAAGATTATCTTATAATTATTTATTTATTTTTGTTATAAGACTATCTTGATATATCCACTGATTTCTCGATTACCTACGAGTTCAATTCGAATATCGTCGGATCCATTATTAAACAATAATAAGTAGTGCTTGTATCCAAATTAGTTCCACGATTATAAAGATGTCCGGTAAAAAAAAATTGAAAAAGAAAGAAAGAAAGTTCATCAATTATATATAAAAAGGGTATTGTCCTAGTTTGGTCATATTTTGATTATTCCTAAAATTAATATGATTTGTGGAAAAATAAATAAATAAAAACAAATGACATAATATTAAATGAATCACATTACCTCAACTATTGTCCACTGGAGAGTGTATTTTCGGGTGAACACAGTTGAGATTGTAAGAGTTATAAACAAAAAAAGTTGTAAACGTAAGATGTCTCTTAAAAAATTGCGAGTTGATGTATAATATAAATAATAGTTTTCCAAAAAAATTAATATTAATATTTTCCCATGATGAGTTCAGATAATAACAAAAAAAAAGTACCTAGTTGTTACCCACAAAAAAGTACCTAGTAACAACAATAGAAAAACATCACATAATCAATACAAAATTAAAATATATTTAGAACTAGTAATTACCTAAGTCATATAATGGAAATATTTGATATGATAATATTATATGTATTTATTAGCTGTCACATGCCCTCTGAGTGCACAAACCACTAATAACTAAACCGAAATGATTCCGTTGCATCATTGCATGTAGGAGCAGCATCAAACGAGTCAACTACTTTAAAATTGGTCTCAATAGAGTTGTTAAATGAATCAGGCCTTTTACGGGTCTTTGATTCGGTTTGTAAAGGCTTAAATTTATATGTCTAAAATTGATTGTTGAAATTAAACTTGAACTTATAGAAAAACTTGTTTAATAAAAAAATCTCATGCTCTAATTCAAAAGTCTAACCGTTGAGTCTATTAGATTGACCTAAGATACTTTCTTTTATTTTTATTCTATATTTTTTATACTGCTCATAATAGTCTTCTCTCTCCTCAATCAATTTCACTCTATTTTATTGGTTAAATAGATATTTTGAATGATTTTGTTCTATATTATGTTGTTTAGATATACATTGAATTTATGAATCTTGGTGGAATAATCAGTGTTGTTGAACTTGATCGTATATTCTGTTTAGATAAATTTTCGTTAACTTATTTTTTTTAACAAGCTAAATCAGATTTTTATTTTTTGTAAATAAGCTAGGCCAGAAATCAATAATTATATTCATAACAAATAACAGGCTAGGCCAAACTGATATATTTAAACACAGATTTAACCTTTTAAAATTAAAGCTCAGCTCGACTCGTTAATATTCCTAATTTTCAATCAAGACAGTTAAAATTTTATTTCAATTATCTTTCTAAAGAAGTCATTGCATGTAACTAAACTCTGCTTGAACCTATAATCCATATGATACCCCATGAAATTAGATCATCACTATTTTTTTAATTTTTTTATTAATTCTTGCTGAACCATTATTCTTCGTCTCAGTAATTATGAATTACTTTACAACTCCGTTATATGTTTATATTGTGGGATTGGATGATAATTGACAAATAATAAAGCCTTTTTCTATTGTTTTGAAAACAAGAAGACAAAATAAAATGTGAGTTGGTGCTTAAAAATGACGTGTGTATTATTCGATAAATAATTTGTGGAATATACGTACAGAGCTTTTGGTTCCTAAAATGATTACGTCACAAAAATGCATTTAACAGTTTTTTTTTTATCTATTTTAATTTGTTTTAAAAGATTATGATTTATCCTCTTACCTCACAGGTGTGGTATTAATCCGACTCTTTTGACCGATTTAGGATTTTTATCCTTTTAATTTTTCAATCGTATTTAATTGATGGTATTTATCAATAGAGTCGTTTAGTGTCATAAGCGGTACTTAATATCGCGACCCTTCCCTCGCGTCACTCATACATTTTTTTTTCAATTGAGTGATACATCCACTCCCTCCAGCACTCCATAGAATTATGTCAAATGACACAATTTCGTTAGTCTTCATTATTGTAAAACTTCGAAAGTTCATAATTTTTAACTCGGATATCCAAATTAAAAGATTTATTTTATGGAAAATAGTTTTCTCATGCTACACTCACAATACATAAGTGGGTCCCATCTTGATTTTTTTGTCTTCTCATCTTTTTGTGGACCCCATTCATGTACTATAAGTGTAGCATGAGAAAATTCTCTCATCTAAAATGAGAAAATTAATTCCCTTATTTTATTTCACATAACTTTTAGAGATCTATGAAATGACACCTCATTTGGCATATTTTATCTCTCACACACATAGTTCAAATTTGTAAAAATTGAGAACTATTGTTACAAATTTGAATTATGTTTATAGAAGATAAAATATGTCAAATGATGTGTCATTGCGTAGATCTCAAAAAGTTATGTGAAATAAAAAAAATTATCTGGTTTGGATACCCGAATCAAAAGTTATGGTCTTCCGAAATTTTACGGTAACGGAACTAACGAGATTGTGTCACTTGACACAACTCTGTAAGTGCTGAAGGGGGTTGGAACATCACTTAATTGGGGAAAAAAAAGAGAATGTGTGAATGACACGGAAAATGATAGCGGCATTCCGTGCCGTTGGATCTCCCTGCGACGGGAATGGATCCTCTCATGTGAAAAAGTGGTCATGTGATCATGTCATTTGATCACAACCACTCATTTAAAAATTATATATTTTTCCCTCTCTTATCTCATTAAGCATGAGTGGTTGTGATCAAATAACATGATCACTTTTCCACATGAGAGGATCCACTCCCCCTACGACAATGAATGACCCTTATTAATAAATATTGAGAATCAAATATCAAATTGGTACATTAAAAACTCAAAAAAGCTCTTTGGGTCAAAGAGCCGTATAGCCCGTTTGTTTCCCCTTTTAAAAAAAGTAACTTTTATCTCTTCTTTATTTTAGAAGTCTTTTTTACAAACGTTAAAGCTATTTATATTTTTATAAAAATATTTAATTTTTGAAAAAAATATTTGGCTTTTGACTTTTGTTTTTTGTAGAAGTTAAAATTTTTAGCTTCTAGAAAAAGTAAATTTTTGACTTTTTTGTGACTTCTGCTTTTTTTAAAAGCAGATGTCCAAATGAATTAAAACTGAGAAGTGCTTTTTTTAAGAAAAAAAAGTAACTTTTAGAGAAAAAAAGTCTATCCAAACGGGTCCTTAACCCCGTCACTCAAGATTCATCTTGAACATGGCGCTAACGTGCTTTCATAAATTTTATATTCGTAGCTATAATGTATGTGCAAAAAAGTTTTTGCCATTGAATCATAACATTATCGTTTTTTCTTTTACAATAAATTGATAATTGGTAATTAATATCAAATGATGATAGCTTAAGCGTCAGAAAATTGAGTAGGTGTGAATAAAGTATGTGTTTGATCATTTTTAATATTGTCTTTGAAAAAAATTTAAAGCCTTAATATCAACATTCGCCGGAAGCGATGACCTGATTGAAATATTTAAAAAAAAAAAAATTGACAAATAATGCTATTTAAACCTTTAATTGAGTGGTAGGTTGAGTTTTCACCAAAAACTGGTGGACAAAGGCTAATTCCTCTTTCCCTATATAACAATTAAAGGAAGATCCATATTGTAGCTTATGCTCATTAACTTCTAGGAATTTTCTTACACATGAA